GAACTAAGAACAATCTTTGTACATATATAAAAAAAAAAAATTATTATATCTTTAAGAAGGGTTTATGTCATAATATAAAAGACTGTTTTATTCAGATATTATTGATTAATTTAGTTTTGTGGGTAAATATTTTATTATTGTTTAATTTTTGTTAAAAGCAGATGACTGTAGAAAGTTTTATTAATTCATTGATGTTGAGCATATCGAACCTCATGCATTACATCAACGTCAAGAATATAGAAGGTGGACAGACAATTAAGTGATAAAGATATAAATACTGTGAGACAAGAGGCAATAACAGACAAACACAGATAATTGCAAAAGAGAATTAAGTTGGTGTGAAGTTTCACGCTAACTTTATTCTATTTCACAATTATCTGTCTGTTTGTTAAGTACTGTAGAAGTGATAGGCCTAACATTTAATAAGTTAGAGTGAAACTAACCGTAGAAAAGAATATAAAAAAAAGTAACTTTATTCCATCAAAGGGTGGTTCTAAAATAATTGAATCAGCCTGAGTGCACTTTGACAAAAGGAGCAGAGGATCTTCAGAAGAAAGAAGACCAAATGATTATGGTAACTCATGCCACAATTGTAAGTGAATCACAGAGAATACTAGTGTGATAGTAATAGAGAAGATAGTTCAGCTTGTCAACTGAAGTTCTAAAGAGATTTTCTTATTTAATAACAATCCCTTCTTAATTTAGTTATTTACCAGAGCCAGTGTCACCAATTCTCTATGTTACTTAACAATCCCTTCTTAATTTAGTTATTTACCAGAGCCAATGTCACCGATTCTCTATGTTACTTAACAATCCCTTCTTAATTTAGTTATTTACCAGAGCCAGTGTCACTGATTCTCTATGTTACTTAACAATCCATTCTAAACTTAGTTACTTACTTGAGCCAATGTCACTGATTCTTATTTTTACTTAACAATCCATTCTAAACTTAGTTACTTACTTGAGCCAATGTCACTGATTCTCCTTGTTATTTAACAATAGTCCATTCATAATTTATGTTAGAATTTAAAAATATAGATTATTCTTTTTGCCAGTTGTCAAAATAAAAGTCTTTTAGTTATAATCCTTAATAGTATAAATATATACTATGTTGTTTTTGGGACTACAGCGATAACTTGTTAGAAATCAATTCAACGATGAATAAACAGAATGCACTTGTTTTCAAAATAATTATATATATATATTCAGAACAAGTTAATGTGTGTACAATAAATTCTTCAACACTATAGATATTATGGACATATAGATACTATATACATATATATTAGCTCTCTGCTTCTTATCAAGTATCCACTCAGGCCTGTTCAATTAGTTTAAATGCCCAATCTTTGCCATCTCTGATTATTAGTTGTCATCATAAATGTTTATCATATCAGACTTTACCCCTAATATTGTGAGTTTATTTTTATATGCCATTTAGTTAAACAATCCTCATCAGTACATGTTTTGTTGACTGAATGACCAGGGTTATGTATTTTTATGTTGATAAGTGTTATTTATCACCTTTGTATTTTGATTCTGTTTGTGATTCTCTTTCATTAAGTCCAGATTTTATTTTATAATGAATAGCTAGAGTGTTTAATGAAGGTGTGGTAATGGTTTAGATTCTGTGATTATGAATTTTGACTTGAATTTTACATAGTTATAATTAGAATTTATGTGCAAATATTATTTAAATCCACTGCTTCATTTGGTGTTCTCATTAAATAATTTTTCTGACCAATTCTTAATTCCCACATGGAGCATGTTTCCTTTATTCTGGTTGTAGTACCTGCTATTGTAATACTTAGAATGGTTATTTAATGATAATGAACTTTTGATATCTTTAGGACCAGCTATTATTCGAAGTCCAGAAAAACTGCAGAAGGATACGTGGGCTACCATCGTTGCTGAAAGAGAATTGAGAGAAGGATCTTTGGTAGTTAATGATGGCGAAGCAGTGAAGGGTTTGTCACCTGGTTTTACTAGGGGCCTTAACTTACAACTACCTCTATATATTGGTGGAGTAGATCTGCAACGGGTTACTGTGTCACCTTTTGCTGAAGTTTCCCATGGTTTTGATGGCTGTCTCTCTCATGTGAGAAATTTGAATATTTTTTCATTTTCAAAAGCACTATCAGAATTTGCATAATAAACTTGTTCTGATGTATATGAATAAAAAATTGTTTTCTTTCAACATGTTGTGATGTAAGAAAAATTGTACGGGTTTGTATCAGTGCATAATATATTTCTATGTATTAAACTGTTTAAAGTGTGTTCAGTATATCTTGTGATATGCTTCAATATTGAAAATATCAATGTAGTTTTAAGTTTAAATGTACTGAAGGTATTGAGAAACTAGTTGTTTGTACTAAGTAACACAAATAAATATATTTAGAAAAATGGTTAGGAGGCTGTATTCATAAAACAAATTACATGGGCCTTAATTCAAAACATGTGATGCAAATTCTCCAAAATAGGCAAGTCTTGAATTTTAGCACCAGGTAGATTATGAGTGTAATTGAAGGATAAAACTTGCATAAATATCGTTGCTAATTGCTAAATAAGCTAATTATTAAAGAGTTTGGATATTATTGAAGGGTTTTTCTTTTTCATTCTTTTATTTATTATGATTATATGGAAGGTTTATAAAGCATCCAAAAATAGGGACAACTTTGGAAATATTTTACAAAATCAAGTAAAATATTAATTTTTACAACCAAAAAAACCACTGTGTGTTGGAAGAAAACTGTTTTAGTATACATGTTTGTATGTGTTTTGTAGGTGGAGGTAAATGGTTTAAATATAGACCTTGTGAACTCTGTTGTGGATTCAGCAAATGTTGTTGACTGTGGAGGACGGTCACCTTGTTTACCAAATCCCTGCCTGAATGATGGCATATGTCATGAAGATGGTTCTAGACCAGATAATTACAGATGTGACTGTCATCATGGTGTTGTCGGTGAGCAAATCAGGAAACAAACCATGTCATGTACTTGTGTGTGTATATATAAGACACAATGATTTGTTAGCATAATGAAACATTTTAATACGTACTACATGTTTTGACAGACCAATGAAACATTGAACACAGTGATAATTCAATAATAAACCAAGCACACAGTTACCTCTCCTCATAAACTAGATGTTTATGGATTTATTGTGGAAGGATTAGTCCAGTGATTTGTCACAGGTGGACTGAAAGAAAGATGATGTGGTATTAAAGTCTGAGTGAAATAAAACGTTTTACTTTCTGAAGATATAAAAAAGAAATTAAATGAAGGAATGACTAATTTCAAAAGATTAATACAATTATTTTGTATAGAAGATTAAGAAAATGAAACTGTGCATGATTTAGTTACATATCATTACCCTATTATAAAACCATTAGAGTTGGCTAAAGGTTGGTGTATGACTTGGTTACTTATCATTACCGTATTTCAAAATTTCATGTTGAGCATGAAATTTTTCTGCAAAATTATCTCTTTTACATGAATATTAGAAGTCATAAAGTGAGAGGAATAGAAAGATAACAAAATATGGAAAAAATGATAATTTATAGAAAAGAAAAGCATTCATTTAAACCATATGGTTTTAGGGTTCCAAGATTGTACGTTAATCTCTTTTTTTTCAGTCGTTCTCTTTTGTAAATGTATGTTGGAGCACCAATAAGTCCCAGAATCGAATGGTCCTCAACTGTACGGTTGTTGATGATGAAATGTTTGTCTATAGGTGTATCTTGGTTCTGCAGTTTAATATAGTTTAGATGGTCTCGTGCTTTATCATTTTTTGCAAATTATGCAGTAAACGATACATTCAGTGGTGCATGTAAAAGGATTGTATTATGTTGAAAGTTGTGCTTTCTCCTTGTATATGTGTGGGGCTGTTTATATTTGGACAAGCAAAATGCCCATTACATTTACATGTTTGAGTGCCTGGAGTATCATTTTGTTTTTGTTTAAGGTTACTGTGTACCAGGATTTGTTTTAGGTTTTTTTATCTTTTTTAGATATACATGACAGTTTAATTTCATTTTTACGTTAATGTAAGTATTATGATTTAGATGGTTTTAAGTATAGTACAAGTGTATTGACAAGACAAGCTATTCGTTCTCCACTCTGTTGTTACAATACAATCTATGATAATTCACTTTAAAAATAGCCACTATACACTATTTATCTATCAATCTAACTATATGTAACTTTATCAATGCATATATTACACACACACACACACGACAGCAGTCTCAAACATTCCACACACTACTAGATAAATGATGCAACAATACCTACTTAAAGCAATGAGAAAAATTCAGAGGGTTCAAGTAACATGACATCAATTCACAACAATTGAACTACATAGCAAATGATTCATACAGTTCCATAAACAAACCTGGTATAACTTTCGCTTCTAAAAATAACTAAATTTTGTGTTTTAAAGTAATTGAACCAGCCTGTGTGGTCTTTGAAAAAGAGACAATCATCTAAAGCTCTGGATAAAACTGTGGTAATCAACAGTTATAGTAGTGATTTTAAAGTGAAATTATCACAGACTGTATTGTAACAACACAGAAGAGAAGAATAATTCATCTTGTTAACTGTGTTCTAAAGTAAACCAACCTGTGTGGACTTTGGACAGAAAGACTGTTTTTAAAGCTCTGGATACAACTTGATAACCAACAGTATAAAGAATAGTTGTATGTATACATTTGATTTGCTTTAACATATTATTTTAAAACAAGTGTATTGTATCCTGTTTGTTTATTACTGAAATTTATCACCAACAAGTCACAGACACCTACTGTAAAGAATCTGGCCCCTACATAAAAAAAAACCTAACAGTCATGTCTACAAGAAGTAATAGGTGGGTTCTTGAAAAGAGGTTTAGTGGTAGTCTTCAGTAAGTCTTCTGTAATTATTTAGTATAATATCTTTGATCTTCTTGTTGGTCTGATATGTTAACACAAGTGGAACATGATTGGTGTGTTCTTTCATGGCTGTTTGCTCTTGGGTTTACGAGTTAGCTTTGATGGCTGCATCATGAATGAGAGAATCATGGTAGTGTCTTTTAGAAAAGAAAGTTTTCATGTCTTTGGATTTTGATTTTTAACCATTATCATCACTAAGTAGCTTGCATAGTTGTAGAAATTGTGAATACAGTATTGACTTTTGGTTACTGTATTGATGGAAAGATCCAAAATGTAGGTATGTTTATGTACGTGTTTCAGATGGTTGTTTTGTATTTGTATGTTAATGTCAAGAAAGGAGAATGTTGTGTCAGATATTTCTCACATAAATTCTAAAGAAGGGTAGAAAGAGGAAATATAGTGTAGAAAACGTTTCTAAATCTAAATTTGGCATGGATGCAATCCCAATGTATTAATGATATATCATGGGTACTGATCCATTGCATTGTTTAAGCAGTTTTTGGGGTATCCAACAAAGGTGGGGCCTATTTTAGTCCCCATACCGACCATGCAGATCTATTTGTAGTAGTTACTATTAAAATTAAAGGCGCTAAGTGTGACTGCAAGTTTGGCTACATGTAGAAGTGTGTGTGTGTGTGTTTTGGAGGGTCCAGTATGAGTCTTTGGTCTAAGAAATGTTTTAGTGCAATTAAACCCTCATTGTGTGAGATAGATGTGTACAATGATTTTATATCCATGGTGAAAATGTAGTGTTCCTTTCCAGTTAAGTATGTTCTTTTACTAAGTAAAATGCAGAATTACAATTATAGTGAACCATTTGTAATTTTTGGTAATAAGATTATGAATGCTTACATACAAAATTGCATTGATTTTTTAAAATGCAAAAACATATAATTGTTTAGTCATTTCAAAACTTTGTTCATATTATAAATTAGCTCGAAGATGGCTCTAAGAGACGTATTAAAACTTACTTAATAAATATTTAATGTAAATAATGTGTAAAACAAATAAAAATGTTATATAAAAGATTGGTTAAAATATCTGTGTTTTAACTACTCTGTTATATTCCATTTTTAGCTGTTTTGTACCATGATTATTATCAAAGTTTATGGTATGTTCTCTGAGTTTCAAATATTGAGACTGTAAATAAGAACCCAACTGAATTATTTTCTATCCAGACAGAGATATCTTTTGCTTAGTAATACTTGGCTAACAAAATGTTGAATATTCACCCTAAAACTATATGAAATATTGCAGGTGATAACTGTGAAATTGAAGTGGCTCCGTGCCATGTGTTGCAACCTTGTAAAAATGGTGGAACGTGCATTGGAACCGATAACTCCTACAGATGTAACTGCCCATTGGGTTTTGCTGGAACTGTGTGTGAAAAAGGTATGTGTATGGTCCATTATATTCATTGATTGTGATTATGGTCCAACAAATATAAATACATCTGTGTTAATGATACAAAGATAAGTGCCTAATCCTTACAGTTTCATTCTCTTCCAAAACTGTTGGCATTCTATGTGTTATCCTTGGTTATACACTATAATTGTTACTGCAGGAGGATTTTGTGCAACATCCTAAGGTCAATGTTGTCCTCCGAAATCCTTTCATAATGCATTGATGATTGTTTTAGTGAGCCCATTTAAAACACTCAAAACCAACCAACCAATCCACAGAAGATGCACCTGATGAGTGAGCTGATATATTTATATATAATCGTAAATGGTACAATACGAATTCCTGTTTGTATTTGAACCTTGTGGAGTGGCTTGCCGAGTTAGATATGTGGCTCGATAATTTATCTTGATGGAGCTATTCCTTACTGGCATCCAGTCCATACAAAGATATATTTTCTCACATTACAGTTGTGTCAGCGTGTAGAGTTCACCATAATATATTCTTCAGTTCTCTTGGTGTTTACCTTTACATTATAGGTGTAACTTGCAACAACTACAAATCCCCTTAGAAAACGTTTTTAAACATGCTCTGTATTATTTTTCAAATATTGTATCACCAACAGGATTATGTTTTAGTTAGTTAAATGAATACGTGTTTCTCCCAATGTGGCAACATATTTGAGTTTTTCACCATACTTGTGTCTTATACTCATGACCCAATAAGCCTCAGTGATTCACCATACTTGTGTCTTATACTCATGACCC